TCCGTGGCCAAGCTGGGAGTCTGGGTCTCACCGATCCAGCCTTAACTCTTTCACCATGGGAAGTAGGCATCTATTAATTGGATCTAATTAATTTAATCTACATGCAAAGTCAAATTAAATTAAGCGTTGTTAATTCCCCGCCCTCTTTGGAAAAGCCTGCGCTCAGCCCACAGCTGATTGCAGGATTGAGACGGGCGTTCCCCAGGCAGCCTTGCGACCACGAGCAAACCTTTTGGGGTCGCGCGGTGTCTGGGGCTCCGGAGAACCCCACACCGAACTTCCCAAAATGTTCCTTCTCCTCTGCAGTCCCTGAGCGGAAAAACCTGGCTGTGAGATTTCCAAGATTCAGCGCGTGGAGCTGGTCGCGCCCCCCGACTGCACACTACAGCATCTCGCTAGTCCTCATTGCCTGGAGCCCTGAGCCCGCCTGCTGAAACCTTGCAGGTCGGACAAAGGGTCCCGATCGGCTTTGGGAGAGCTTGGCTCCCCAAACCGAGCGTACCCATCAGATTATGGTCTGGATTTGCTTTGTGGCCACCCTGCTTATGACACCTCTAGCAAAATTGAAAATATCCATGGGGGGCAGGGGGGAGGACGAAGGAGACATGGATAAGGCGCCCCATCACGGGTCTGCGGGTGAGTGGGGGGCTCAGGACCTCTTCTCCAAACATGTGTGCCCACGACACAAGGCGTGCAAGATCTCCTTAGGCAGGTTTCAGCCCGGGAGGCAGAATTTCGCCATGCTTCGAGCGTGCAACTTTCTTGCTCAAAAGCCTCGCTTCTGCCTGTGGAGGTGAGACCTGATACTTCATAAATACTTCCAAACCTCGTTTGGAGGAAAGGCCGAGTCCACCGCTGTTCGAAAACAAAAGGAGCCGAGAATGTATACAGAAAGAGGCAGGGAGGTATCTTGGTAGGCTGAGTGTGCGAGAGTTTCAGCAAAATATTTAAACTTAGGGGCACTTCTGATAGATTCCGTTTCAAAAAATATAAACAAGGAGAGAAGCAGGACTTTCCTGCTTGAACATAGATGGAGCTCGAAGGGGGCGCTTATAAATCCTGAGTGCCTTTTTCAGTCTGCGCGTGCTCAGAGGCCGTGGCTGCTATTCAAAACAAGGTTGCTTCGGGGGCTGAACTGGGCTTCTGGTTTTCTGGAGCCTGCCCAGAGCAAGCGGGATCTGGTGGTGCCAATGCAGCCCGAATGAGGATGGGCTTGGCATTTTTCGCTCGTCTGCATGGGCAGAGAGTCCCCTTTTAATAGTGTTGGGGCTTATTTGCACACTCAAGGGCCATACTGACATCTTCCCGTGGCTGCAGGGAAGGTTTTGCTGTTGTTCAGCAGAATTTTGTCACGCTGAGGACTAGTCCCCTTTTATATTTTTTTAAAGGAAAGGGGCGGCTCTCAGGATTTTGAGAGGTTTCTGTCTGTTTGTTTGTTTCCCTATGAATTCTGAGACATCCCCTCTCTCTTTTTCGCAAGACTCCGTTTTCTTGAAAGCAAGGAAGCACAGATTGTGGTGGGTTATAATATGCTGATTTACTGATTTAACACGTTTTCTGGGTGTGCATGATACAGCAAAATCGGAATTAAATGGGCTGCATTTGAATAACACATTGAGTCGCCAAAAAAAAAAAAAAAGAAAGAAAGAAAGAAAACCAAGCCCAGCATCAGGTGTGAATGTAACCTCCGAGAATAAAGCTGTCTGTTAGCTATCTTGGTTTCGAAGCTGGGCATGGGCGTCGCCATCTCGATACCTGATTTCCTTCTCTTCCCTTTTCTTTTCCTTCCGTGAGCAGCGTTCGTGCATCAAATGGCAAGAAATTCCACCGATTCATTCTTGCAAATCATGTGAACATAAAATGGCATCTTTGCACTTGTTCAATATGCGAAGTAAGCACCATGGCAGATTTAAATGGTGCCCTTGGAGGTTTGGGGCTTTGTAGGGCTCCAAAATGAAAGGTTTGGTGTAAGTCATGACGATTATGCCCAAAACCTGCTTTTTCGTAGCAGGCACGGGGGCGGGCGAACAGAGGCTTTGTGATACCAAAGCCAGAGGGCTTTTGAAATTACCCTTCCCTGACCCAAAGCCTTGTAGCGGTCAGGGGTCGGCAGTTCCCAGAATCCCCTGCCAACACGGATGTTCCGCTGGCTAGGAATTCTGGGAGTTGCAGTTCTAGCACGGCTGGAGGATGCCGGCTTGGGGAAAGTGGCGAGGAGGCCAAAATCAGCCGTGGGGCTGATACGGATGGCAGCGAGTTGCTTTGCTCGGAGTTCAGGCTGCCAGCTGTATTGGACTGGGGCCTTTCCGTGGGGGATGTCTTCTACAGCAGGGTTCCTCAGCCTCAGCAACTTTAAGATGGGTGGACCAACTCCCAGAATTCCTAGCCAGCGGAACATCCGTGTTGGCAGGGGATTCTTGGAACTGCCGACCACTGACCGCTACAAAGCGTTTGGGCAGGGAAGGGTAATTTCCAAAGCCCCCTGGCTTTGTTC